TTTCAATTCAAAAATTTGAATTGAGGTCGTTTTTGTTTCAAGTCTCAGGTTTGTGGATTTCCGTAAATACAGCTGTTTACTACTGCAATGTTGGGCCGATGGTTGCTGCAGAAATTGATGAGGGTTGTTTGGTTCGCAAGTTTGTGTTGGCTGAGGTTTTGAGGTTTGGGTGCTGGGTCCTGTGCCGAAGGTGATGAATGCTGGGCTTTGCTTTGCTGCTGGGAAGTTGGCTGAGTGGGCGGTTGCTGGGGGAAGCAATGGATGAAATGATGCATGATATGGTAGATGGGGGTTGGCACTGGGAGGTTGGCTGGGGGGGTGGGTGAGTGCATGGGTGGGTGGGTCTTGGGTATGTGTGGGGATTGCATTGGTTGCTTTCTAAAGAAGAACCTAAGCCCTAAACCATAAAACTCATAAGCCCCATAACCATTAAAAACCTTTTTAAACCCACTAAACCATTTAAAACCTTTGTAAACCCACTAAACCACTACAAACCTTTTTAAACCCACTAAAGCTGAAACCTCCCACATGCCTTGTCTGCTGCCGACAGAGCCTCAAAAGGCTGAGCACAACATGAGCCTGCAAAGGCTACCTAAGAGTTGCATGCTTGCAAAGCCTCCAAAGGCTCTCCTACAGAGACCCTGAGCCTGCAAAGGCTGAACCATGGAGCCTTCGTAGGGCTGTGCTATCTCTTTTTTTACATCCAGCTTTGCCTGCTTGTCGATCTCCATCCAGCAGAGCAAAATGCTCAGGGCGGAGTGCGGCCACCTCGTGGCAAGTAGCCCAGCCAGTTGAAGCCCTCCAAGCCATACTGTCTGTGGGCTGCCACTATCTCGGCAAGCTGGCTTTGGATGGGCACGAAGGATGCCAGCCGCTGGAGCTGCCTGTTCAGCTCGTCCACCTCACCACAAAGGCTCAACCCCACCAGCATGGCCACCTTGTTCTGGAAGCCAGTTTTGGTTTTCTCCGGCAGACGGAAGGTGTGCATTCTACCAGCCACATCCATCCATGTAGTTACACCAGCACCAAGACCAGCATATTGGCCAGCACCGCCTTGCTGCCAACTGGACGACGATGGCTGCTGCCACTGACCAGCAACATTGGTTTGCTGCCAGTGACCACCAGTTTGCTGCCAGTCACCACCAGACCAGCCAGCACCATCCTCGTACCAGCCATCCCAGCCACTAGCATGCTGCTCGCCACCACCGTGGGCCCAGGCCCAGCCATCACCAGCATGCTCGCCAGGACCGTCGCCACAGCCACCAGCACCATGCTGCTCCTCAGCCGCTTTTTTCGCCGGTGGAGCTCCCTTCGGCTCCGGTGGCGGCATGGCACCAGCACGTCTCCACGGTGCTGCAGAAGTCTCGAGGCCAGCAGTGTCATCCTGCAAGGTTTAGGGTTGAGGGTTTATTTAGGGTTTGGGGTTTAGGGTTTAGGGTTTAGGGGTTTAGGGTTTAGGGGTCCCAATAACAGGCAAAGCACCGGCTCGGCTGGATTGCTCGGAGGATCTGTCTTGTCGTCGTCCTCCTCCGTCTTGGCCTCCAGCAGTCCCTCCTCTGGTTCCACTGCCCCACCAGCCATCATGAGCCTGTCCAGCGCCGAAAGCTCCTGCACCGGCGGGCTGGGCAGCTTGGCCTTCTTCTTCGTAGCAGGAGGCATCGCCTGCACAGAAGGAAAGCTTTCACGAGCCTGCAAAGGCTGTCGCATGAAATTTTCAGGAGCCTCCTAAGGCTAACACATGCAAGTGCCTCTAAGGCTGACACGTGCAAGAGCCTGCTAAGGCTTTTCGGATTCAAACCCTGCCATCGCCTTGCCAGCAGGACCATCTTTCCTTTTGCTGCCCTGCCGGAAAGGGCTGTAGGTTTGCATGGAATAACCGGTTTAGGGTTTAGGTTGAGGGTTTAGGGTTTAGGGTTGTTATATGTATTTTCATTTTATATTCTTGTATGTTTCCCGTGTATTATGTTATGTGTAAGAGTATATCTGACATTGTACTGTAATAGAAATGAAAATTTATATGATAAGGCTGTTGTGTAGGAAAGCTTGACAAAGCTGTTTGGCACAATAACAAGCCTTGGGTTCGGCAGCACCACCAGCAGGGGCAGAAGCCTTGGCGGCATCTTCAGTGGCCTGCCAGGGGTCGTATCTAGGATGCTGTGGCTTTATGCTTCCACCGGAAAGTTTTCTGAACCTGGCCTCTCCCTCCAGCTCTTTCGCCCACTGCAAAAAAACAGGGTCGTCCATGGGCCGCAGGCAAAGCTGGAAAAAACTTCCAGCAAACTGTCCTAGAGGTTTCGTTGGCTTTCTGAAA